TTGTCACACAAAACCAAACATCCATAATGCCTTATCCAGAATATTGACCTTGTAATTGTAATTTTTATATAATCAAATGAATTTCTATATTTTTTGATAAAGGATACTGGATAGGAGGGTGTAAATACATTTGTTATGCAATCATTCTAACATTTAACAAACAAATTTTATCCTTCATGGATTTTAGGTGGACACTTGCAGATAGAGATTTTTTCCCCCCTGGTCCACTGAATGCTGTAAGAACTAGGTGCTCCAGCTGGAAAGCCTTGGTTTCAGACATGTCAGATTGTGGTAGGCAGAATTAAAGCCCCCAGTGAAAGCCCCTAATCTCTGGGAACATGAATATATTACTTTACATGGCAAGGGGAACTTTGCAGATGTAGAGTTACTAAATTATTTAATCTTAAAATAGAAGATACCTGGATTTTCTGGGTAGACCCAATGTAATCACATAAACCTAAAACCAGAAGAATAAGGCAGAAGAGGAAGGCAGGAAGTTACAGAGATGCAACCGAAGACATCAGATTGATTTGAGAAGGAATTGAAGCACTGTTGCTGGTTTTGAAGGAGTGGAGCATAACCCCAAGGACAGTTGGCAACTTCCAGAAGCTGAAAATGAGCCCTGTACCACAGCCAGCAAGATAACAGGACCCACTGTACTGGCAACCTGAATGAGCATGGAAGCAGGTTCTTCCCCTTGATGACCTCTGACCGGAGGACCCAGCTGAGCAACTCCTGGAATTCTGACCTGTAGAACTATGAGATAATGCATGGGTGTTGTTGGAGGCCACTACATTTATGGTAATTTCTTAAATTAGCAATAGAAAAGGAATATACTGCTCATGTGTGGAGGACGGAAGGATGGACCACCAGGGGTGTCATGACTAAGATGCTTCCTGGGAATGCACTGGGCTTAAGAGAAAAGAGAGTTGGGGTACTTAGGATTTTCCTTTACAGTGTGGTAGTATCAGAAACAGCGACAATTTTGAGTGTCTAGCTTTGTGTATCTACTTAAATTATGTGTAATGTCAGTGCCTTTCACTTATGCTGAAGCCTTCATCTTCAATAGAGAGGGAATCTGAAAATCCTGGGCTGTTACACAAAAATTTACATAAGACTTTAGAAACGATCACATGCTGTTTTTGTTTTCATTTATAGTGCATGTAACAGAGCTTATAAAAAACTAAGTTAAGGTTACTTTCCTCACAGGTAGGTTTCTACTGAAGCATATTGGAACCCACATATTCAAAACGGCTTGGACAGTAAAACAGCCACTTCAGAGAAGACACGGTAGAGGAAGCTCAGTTTTAGAGGAACATGTTTCTAAAGCAACCTCAGTAGCTTTAGAATTGCAGTGATTTTATGTTGCTGACTTCTACTTGAATTGTATAATTTACTCAGATAGTTTGAACTACTTACCTAAGATCACTGAACAAAGTAGAATCAAAACCTGTATCTCTAGGTCTAACATATAACCTGATTGTAGGTTGTGGTCTATTCCCTAGTCTAATAAAACAGTGTTGAAATTCCCCATTACTTACAAGTGGTAGATCTTAAAACACATATTTGGTCTAAACTGGCTCTCCTGAATTTTTTTAAAACTTTAATTTAAGAAATTGAGGCAGGGTCTTGCCATATTGCCTGGGTTGGTCTTGAACTCCTGGGCTCAAGTCATTCTCCTGCCTTGGCCTCCAAAAACACAAGGATTACAGATGTGAGCCACCATGCCTGCCCTAAACTGGCTCTTTTGATTCAAAATATTGTATTCCCCAAGGGTGATGTCAGTTAGCTTAAAATTATTTATATGTTGAACTTGGGGCTGCAGAAATTTCTTTTACCAGAAGTAAGAGGCATTAAATAGACTTTGAAAAGGCCTACAAAGTCCTGAGAAAAAGATCTCCAAGTTAAATGATGCCCGCTTTGGAAATCTGGAAATGATTGATGAAGTTTTCTTGGCTGGATTGTGATCATATGTATGTAAACTTGCCTAATCTGTGTTTTACTATTGCAGATTACTTTTGCCAAAAATTGGAAAATAAAAAGTGTTTATATTAGAGCTATGACTGCATATAAACTAAGGAGCTTTCTAAAAGGTAGTTTCAAATGGAGGATTTGGGATTACAAGAATGATTCTAGAGGGCAGGGAGTGATGTGGAAATGGCATAAGAAAAGTGAGAAGATGAGGAAAGCATGGAGTATTTGGAAAGTAGGGAAGCACCCTGACTGGATTGCAGAGTTTATGATGGGAGAAATGAAAGATTATACTGGGGTTGACCTAGATTGTTAGTTAAGATTCACTGTGTCTTTTTTTTTTTTTTTGAGATGGAGTTTTGCACTTGTTACCCAGGCTGGAGTGCAATGGCGTGATCTCGGCTCACCGCAACCTCTGCCTCCTGGGTTCAGGCAATTCTCCCGCCTCAGCCTCCTGAGTAGCTGGGATTACAGGCACGCGCCACCATGCCCAGCTAATTTTTTGTATTTTTAGTAGAAGCGGGGTTTCACCATGTTGACCAGGATGGTCTCATCTCTTGACCTCATGATCCACCCGCCTCGGCCTCCCAAAGTGCTGGGATTACAGGCTTAAGCCACCGCGCCCGGCCGATTCACTGTGTCTTATGGATCCAGCATTGTCTTCAGAACAACAGCCATCTCACTTACAAGGGAGCTTCCTTGAGGCCACATAAAGGCTGTTCCAAAATCTAGACTGCCACCAACACCTCTGCTGCCACTGTGTTTTTGCCTCTGGCACCCAGGAAACCAAAGAATCAATACTCAAAACTGCTCACAGGGAACCAGCTGAAACACAGTCATTTTACAAGGTGATATTTGCTTGCAAAGACTGCTATAAGAACTGACTGGAAGATGACCTGTGATTGGTTTCTGCTCTTTAAATCTCACCCATTAGGCATAGGTTACATGCAGAGTGTTAGCTGAAAAGAGCAAGTGTAACAATTTTTGCTTTTAAATTTCTCTAACTACAGGACAAGTTGATAAGACTTTGTGAGTCAGTCCACAGTTTCCATCACATTTGGGTAGGTCATGAGAATCTGGGACCATAAAACTAAGAAATTAAACATAATCTTGGAAAGAAAAACAGCTCATATATATTAAGTGCTTACTATATTCCAGCAACAGTTCAAACCACTTTTATATATAGTGTCTTGTTCCCTTTTCTCAATAATTCTGTGAGAAATTATCCCCAAGTTACAAACGAGGAAACAGAGGCACAGAGAGGTTAAATTATTTGACAAAGGTCACAGAGCCAGTAGCTTGAGCTCATGATCCCCTGCTCTTAAATATCATGATATATTGCTCCTTAGGGGCAGAATCAAGGTAGCATTCCTGAAGGTGGTAATGCATCAATTAACTGTTGAAGCATGAATAGTGGTTTTCCAGGCAAACAGAGAAAAGCTCTTTCTAGGGAAAGGTATGAAGGTAGGACGGAGCAGGATTCATTCGGTAAATTGCTGTTGGTTTTTATTAGGCTGCTGTGTAGGGTATGAGATAAAGTTCCAAGAGATGGCATTTGAGAGGTAATCATGGAATAGATCCTCATAGGCCTTTGATTCCCTGCTAAGAGATTTGAATTAAACTGATCAGATTTTCACTTTGAAAGATTCATTTTATTACACTATGAAATATAGGTTAGATGGAGGCAAGGCAATAGTTATTTAGGAATTGCTGTAGTCCAGGTGAGAAATGATGAGAGTGAAAGAATAAGTGGACATGTGAAAAATTTAGGTGGTAGGATCATAGGTACATAGCAACCAATGGAGGGAGGAGTGTGGGATTACTTCTAGATTTCTGATAGTAGTACCATTCATTGGACCATAGAAGTGAGGGGAGATAGGATCCATTTTGTACATACTGAAATGGAAGTATCTGGGGAATATGAGTGGAAATGGTTGGCAGACTTCAGGCTTTAGCTACTTAAAGTGAAAAGTGGAACCAGAAACTTTCTGGCTATAAAACCCCATGCTCTGAACACCCCCAGGGAGAAAATAAATCTTCTTTAGGTCATCTGTGGCTTAAAGGGAAGTTATCAGGTTAACATTGCAAGGCGTACTTCACTTTTTCTAATGTGGATGAAGAGAGACATTCATTATCCTTTTGAAGAACTATGAGAGTTAAGCAGAGTTATTTTTTAGTGAATGAGGGACTAGTCACTTACATTCTTTCGGAATCTTTTTGCTTGAATTAGAACTAATTTTTACTAATTAGCCTGGGGCAGTGATCCTAAGTCTGTCACTTAACAGTGTTTTCTAAAAGAAGACAATTTTCCTCTTGCATCCTTTGCTATATGGAAGGACACAGTCTAATAAGAGACTGATCTAAGTTTGATTATTTGTCACAAAGTATCCAAAAACAGTGGCTTAAAACAATTTTAATCATAATTCTGTGAGTTAGGAATTAGGTGGGGTTCATTGGATATGTCTCATTTCCTTTCCATGTGGTGTCAGCTGGGGTCACACATGCTGTTACATTCAGCTGGGAGCTCAGCTGGGGCTCTGACATTCAAAACGGCTTCATTCACATGGCACCTAGGCTAAGTGTGACTGGAATGGCTGAGGGCTGTCTGGGTCTCTCTTTCTGCCTCCTGGAAACCCATTATCATTTAATAGCACAACTCTTGCTTCCATGCTGGCTGGACTCTAACACAGTGAAAATGGAAGCTGCCAGGTCTATAAAAGGATGGACCCAAACTGGCACCAAGTTATTGCTGCTACATTTCTTGGCCAAAACAAGCCACAAGTGAACCTAGATTCAAAGGGAAGAAAGATAGACTCTACCTCTTGATGGGAAAGGCCACATGCATGTTGGTGGCCATCTTCACAGACAAGTTTCCTCAATGTGTCCTCTGCCACAACAATTCATGCCTCTACCATGGGCAATACATACCCAACCTCTTTTCCCTCTCTCTACCTGCTAAAGCCTCATCTAATGACTCATTAGACTTAAAGTCCAGTCTGCATTAAGTCCTGATATCTCTCTATCTACAGAGAATAGGAGACCTTGTAAAGAGAGAGAGAGACCATGCAGAGCGGAAACAATGGACCCAGGTTGACAACCAGCACCAAAGCCCAGATGGAGGAGCAAGACCATTTTGGACCCTCCAGCCCTAGTTGAGGGCCTCAGACAGTATCATGTGGAGTGGAGAAGAGCCACCTCAACTGGTTTTTGCTGGAATTTCTAACCCACAGAGTCGTAAGCAATAAAATTGTTGTTGTTTTAAGCCACCAAATGTTTGGATATTTTATTACGCAGCAATAGCTGGCTGAAACAATACTCTACTTAGACTTATGCCTTGGATTCACCTTCAGACATTGAGTAAATCCTGAAATTGAGTTTCCATTCCTCTACCCCATGTCCCTTAAACTGTTTGCCCCAAATTCCTCATTCTCTGCATCAGTGTCTGTGGCCAAAATCTTGAAATGTTTTATGCCTCCCTTCCTTACAACAAAGGTCATTGGATTTGTGATTAGAAACTCATTTGAAAGTTTCCATTTCCATGACAGATATGTGGATAAGGGCCAGGTTGTGAGATTGAGGAGTGGCGAGAAAACCCCAAAAATAGCCTGTGAAAACTTTACAAAGTTTGTGAATAAAAGGAGAATAAGGGATGGGGAGATAGGTTAAGGGGGTGGGAATGGGGCTACAAGAGGAAAAAAGAAATAAATAGAAATTATATAAATAAAAATAGATGTGTGTATAGATATTTACACATCTATATATCTGTATCTGTCTGTACTTGTACCTGTCTCTGTATCTACATCTATATCTTTATTCCAGGCCAAAATGTGACCATTCAAAGACCTGAAGTAGTTCTGAGAAGGTTTAGATAATATAAATTCAAGGTGTCTAAAATCTCAGAAAATTGCCAAGGATGATGATTGAGGAAAGCATAGAGAGCAAAGTTCTGAGTCAGAAATACAAACTCCTTTTGGAAAATGACTGAAATAAATCCTTCATACAGTGTCATATTTCACCAAAAAAAATTAGATTGAGAAAATCCCATCACATGCAGTGGAAAATAATTGTGACTTGGCAGCTTCTCTGTCTTCAAATGAGCTTATCCTGAAGTTGGAAAATCAAGGAAGCAGACAAAATGTTGAAACTTCCTTAAGAGACTGCATGACAAAGCTGATATATGAGACCATTGTGATCTTGTATTTACTAATATTACTGTTTTAACAAGCTTCTTATTCTCAAACATTACTATCTGGCAGAAATCAAAAGTAAATGTCTTGAAATTTACCACTATATACTCTGAAAGAGAAGGAATTTAAAGAGACAATTATATATTCAGCATCTTCAAATCCATGAAGATACCTGTTACACTGAATTTCTTCTAGGATATGGTACAAAAATGAATTTTGTGAGGATTAAAAATGCCTTCATGGGATGGAAGATTGTCATCTCTATTTCCAATGCAAATGACAAACTAGTTCCTAAATAACATACTACAGTATTATTATTCTGCATATACTCATTGAATAGTACTGCCAGAGACAGATAATCAAGTTGTTCTAAAGTGATGTCAAGAAGGGCTCACTGGTATAAAAATGGCGGCAATAGCCTAACAGCCTTACCACAAAGGTTACCTCAGGCAAGAAAATTATATATGTGATCATTTTACCAAATGTTTTGTCATGGCATAATATGAGTTGCCATTTTTCTGTTTCCTGTAGTGGTTTCCTTGCCCCCTCCCCTACCTACATGGTTTTTGTTCCATCAACACCTCATTTCTGTTTTCTTCTTTTTTTTTTTTTGAGGCGGAGTATCACTCTGTTGCCAGGCTGGAGTGCAGTGGCACAATCTTAGCTCACTGCAACCTCTGCCTCCTGAGTTTAAGAAATTCTCCTGCCTCAGCCTCTGGAGTACCTGGGACTACACAGGCGCCACCATGCCCAGCTAATTTTTGTATTTTGTAGAGACGGGGTTTCCTATGTTGGCCAGGATGGTCTCGATATCTTGACCTCATGATCTAACCAACTCAGTCTCCCAAAGTGGTGGGATTACAGGTGTAAGGCACTGAGCCCAGCCTCAACACCTCACTTCTAGGTACCAGTTTGAGTCAGTTTTTGCTGTAGTAATGTTGCATAAAAACACCTAAATGTATTTATTTTCACAATACATGTGGCTCCAGGCTGCAGATGACTGAGGGTTGGCTCCATGTGCCTTCTTAGTTTGGGACTTGGTCCAAAAAAGCCACGTCTCGCTGCATATGCTGTTCTATCATGGCAGAAGATGGGAACAGCAAGCTGTGATGCATCAAGCAATTGTGCTTAAAGCTTTTGCATAGAGTTGGCACACTGCTACTTCTGCTCACATCCTGTTGGCCAAAGTATGTTATAATATCTTATGGCCAACTCCCCAAATCAATGAAGTGAGAAGAAATACTCCTTTCATAGTGACTATCTTACCTGCCAAAGGGTGGGGGTAGGATATTCTATTACAAAGAGGGGTTGAGCATAGTGGCTTATGCCTATAATCCCAGCACATTGGGAGACCAACCTGGTCAGCATGACAAAACCCCATCTCTACTAAAAATACAAAAATTAGCTGGGTGTGGTGGAACACGCTTGTAATCTCAGCTACTCAGGAGGCTGAGGCACGAGAATTGCTTATGCCCAGGAGGCAGAGGTTGCAGTAAGCCGAGATTGTGCCACTGCACCTCAGCTTGGATGAGAGTGAGACTCTGTCTCCAAACAAACAAACAAATGAAACCAAAGGGCGAGGGACCAAAACCAAATAGGGAGTAAGGATTTGGAAACAATTATTTAATATATTGTCATTTCAAAATATTTCTCTAGTACAGGGTGACATTAGTTATTCATTCACGAATTCAACACCTACTGAGAATCAAATATATGCTGGATTTTGTTCTTAGTGCTTGGACTACATCAGCAGACAAAGTCTTTTCTCCTGAGGTTTACATTCTAGCTCATATTTCTAAGTAGAGCATTGGCACCTACACTTCAGGGTTGCTTGCTATTGTCCATGAAGTTAGGTTTGGTGGTGAGCTTTCACTTGTTCACTGGACTGCTCTTTTTTCTTTTTTTAAAATGATTCCACCTCTGGCTCGGCAATGCTATTTATGAACATCTTGAAGTAGGAAGTGATGCCAGATTATAATTACATGGATTTATTTATGTGAATCCTCTAAAATGTTGCCAGATGATGTTTTGTAAAAATGTTAAGTATAAATTGGGAGCTGAAATAATGCCAGAGAAATATTTGTTTTCCACACTAACCAAAATTTTGAAAAAGGGTACAAAAATATTATTAGATAGAATGAAAAGATCTAGCATTCAGCAGAACAACAGGGTGACTATCATCAATTTATTGTACATTTAAAAATAACTACAAGAGTAAAACTGGATTGTTTGTAACACAAAGAAAGGATAAATGCTTCAGGAGATGAGTACTCCATTTCCCCTGATGTGATTATTACACATTGCATGCCTGTGTCAAACTATCTCATGTACCCCATAAATATGTACACCTATGTACCTATAAAAATTAATAATTAAAAGAGACAGAGTAAAAAAGAAGAGGAAGGAAAGAAACACCATCTGAAAAGGCAGAGATCCAGCATACAGAGAAGATGGGGAGTTACAGACTTTCCTTTTTTTTTTGAGAAGGAGTTCCGCTCCTTACCCAGGCTGGAGTGCAATGGCGCTATCTCGGCTCACCGCAACCTCTGCCTCCTGGTTCAGGCAATTCTCCTGCCTCAGCCTGCTGAGTAGCTGGGATTACAGGCACGCGCCACCATGCCCAGCTAATTTTTTGTATTTTTAGTAGAGACGGGGTTTCCCATGTTGACCAGGATGGTCTCGATCTGTTGACCTTGTGATCCACCCGCCTCGGCATCCCAAAGTGCTGGGATTACAAGCGTGAGCCACCGCGCCCGGCCCAGACCAGACTTTACTTTCTATGTCCCTTCCTAAGTCATATGTTCACTCGTGATCCAGTCACTTATCCAGTGCTTCTTTACACATCTCTTACTGTGTTCCCTGTTCTCTCCTAGGTGCTGAGAATACAGTAGTATGCGAAAGGGACAAATCTTTTCGACTTTATGAAGCCTGTGTTTTAATGGAGGGAGAAAAACAATTAGTTAAAATACGTAAGATGCCATATGATGCAGCAGTTTGGAAAGTAAAGGTCACTGTCAAAATGGGCATTGTGAGAAGAGTCTAATTAACTTAATGTAGTTAATAGATAATAAGGTGCTTAAAGGTTAGTAATTAATAAAACAATGCTTAAAGCACAAGGGATATGCTATGTCCTGGAGGTAGTAACAAGGAGAAGCTCTTAACATCTGACACCTGAAAATAAGGACTGGGAGAAGTTACTCAGACAGGGGAGCTGAAGGGAGAGAGCTACCTGATAGTGGATTGTGGTCCTCACGAAAGGGAGGTAGCTGGCCGGCTGTGGTGGCTCACGCCTGTAATCCCAGAACTTTGGGAGGCCAAGGCATGTGGATCACCTGAGGTCGGGAGTTCAAGACCAGCTTGGCCACTGGCCAACATGATGAAACCCTGTCTCTATGGGGGGAAAAAAAAGCACAGAAAAATTAGCTGGGCGTGGTGTGGCAGGTGCCTGTAGTCTCAGCTACTCAGGAGGCTGAGGCAGGAGAATCACTTGAACCTGGGAGACAGAGGTTGCAGTGAGCCGAGATTGCATCACTGCACTCCAGCCTGGGTGACTGAGCGAGACTCCATCTCAAGAAAATAAAAAACAAACAAAACAAACAAACAAACAACAACAACAATGAAAAACAAAAGGAGGCAGCCAACAGACAGGGACTTGGCAGGAGTGGAGCTGGGAGAATAAATTCCCAGCCTCTTTCTCTTCCCTCCCTGGATCTCCTTCTGCTGGCTTTTATTGGTCAGACCTGTCAGGAAGCGGAAGGACAGCAGAGCTTGTTGATGGAGAGCATCCAGTCAGCCTCCTGGTGAACACTGGCAGGGCTGAAACTGGAAGACATCCAAGGCAGACGACGGTAAGCGCTATGGGGGGAAAAAAAGTAGGAAAGAAAGACAAGAAGGAAATAGGGTAAGGGACTGATATTCTGAAATGGGGGGATCAGAGGAGGCCTAAATCAACAAGATTGTGATATTTACGCAAAGCCTTTGAGTAACTGAGGAAGTGAGCTATGAGGGAATCTGAGGCAAGAGTACTTCAGGCAAGGGAACACAGATGAAAAGTCTCTGAAACAGAATTCCCAAGGGGCTGGAATGGAGTCCAACTGCAGCCAGAGCGGGGATGAAAGCAGTCAGTGAACTGCCCCAGATAGAGCAGCTCGCTTCTGCGGCCCCTCCACTTTGAGGTCTTAGCGGGCACCCCTCCTACCTGCTCTCTGCCTGTGAGCACCTGGGAGAGCTTCTTAGGGTGTGAGTGAGGAGGGGTAGTGGGGTTCTATCTTTTGTGCCATGAGCCTGAAGAAAACATCCTTTGTCCTTTTGAAATGGCATCATTTGTGTAGGATAATACTCGAGGTTCGTTGCCTTATGCCAGGGAAATAGAGGATGTGACACACGCAAGGAATGAGTTTAAGAGCATAGGTTCAATAGGTAAAAGAAAAACGTTTTCTCCTGCAGAGAGAGAGAGCGGCTCCCTAGTGGGTCTTCCAGTTTCGTGGGGGAAATGCACGGTGTTTTATAGATGAGCTTGAGGATGTGGTGTGTGACTTTGAAGTATTTGGGTCGAGTATAAAATTATCAACCAAGACAAAAGTATGCCAAATTGCAGGGTCTTTATTGCCGGCGACCACAGAGGACTCACGTCTCTCCAACCTGTGGCCCCAAACTCAGGGGGATCAGGGTATTTAAGCTGAAAAACCACATTCTGGTTTTAGGATTGAGTGAATGCAGCGCAAGCAACTTTACAGTAACTACTGATAAGCAAAGGCCAGACAGTTCATTCTTTAGAGCAAGCTAGCAGTTTTGTTTACAGAAGCCAACGTCAGCAGTGATTGCGAGGAGAATGGGGCAACTGTTCTAACTCTAGGCCTGCTATAGCACCATTTACATGGAGCCTGAGATACTGATCTACGGAGAAACAGCTCAGTCAGGAGTTACCCAGGCGGGCTGAAGGTATTGAGAGGCAGACACCCAGATAGAACAGCAGAGTGGATCTATCTGAGGGAACCAACAGCTTGAGAGCCTGCAGGACTGATACCTCTCCAGACTGAAGGCCCGGAGCAGAGATTCATCCACGTATTTAGCGCCTCTTTGACAGGTGATTCTTATTAATACACAGGTGTTCTATATTACCTATAACTCTAGAATATACCAAGTAGGCAGCTGTTACCTGCCTACCACTAATTACAAAGTAAAAGGTATCCTCCACAAAGGAGCCATGGGGGCAGGGTAAACTTAATGTATCTCAACATGGATCAGGTGTGCTATTTGCATAGCACATGAAGAAGCTGGCCACCTCACCCTCATTTTTTATTATATAAATGGGTTCTCTATCTGGCTGATGCCATGTTGCCTGCTTCTTTACCGTACGTGTGGTTGACAAAGAAAAGGGAAGATGGAGCCTTTTCCTATGGGCACAGCTGCCAGCATTCACCTGTGCAAGCTTTTAGCTTGCTTTCTATGTTTGCAGCTTGATTTTTCAGGTTGCTCTTTGTTAGAAACGTTTTGGGGCCACTTTGCATTAAAAGGGAAACCTTGTCAAGGACTTTCTTTTCCTCACTATCTGCCTAAATAATTTTTTTTCTAGGTCCTGTATCATTTTCTCTGTCTCTCCCTATCTTTCAAATTTTCCTTGCTTAATGGAGGCAGATGAAGGAATAAAGCAAAATCTTTTAGAGATGCAATGTTTCTGAGTTTTCTTCTTAATTTCTAGGCAGATTTGAAGAAAATTACCTGATTGATTTCTTTATTTCTATTTTTTGAGACAAGTTTCACTCTCGTTGCCCAGGCTGGAGTGCAATGGCGCTATCTTTGCTCACTGCAACCTCTGCCTCCTGGATTCAAGTGATTCACCTGCCTCAGCCTCCTGAGCAGCTGGGATTATAAGCCTCCACCACCATGCCTAGCTAATTTTTGTCTTATTACTAGGGATGGGGTTTCTCCATGTTGGCCAGGTTGGTCTCAAGTTCCTGACCTCAGGTGATCCACCCTCCTCAGCCTCCCAAATGGCTAAAATCCTGTGAGCCAAGGCACCCAGCCAAATTACCTGTTTTAAAGAAAACTACTGAGAACCTTAGAGTTTTAAAATTTAACCCCTGCCCCGCCATTCCTGTCAAGATATATGTGAGGACAGGAGGGGAGCTATAGCAAGAAAGTTCGTCCTCTCACTTGCGCCATGGCGAGTACACCATTCTTTTCTGAAACACAGAGAACAGGACTGAAAGATAGAGTCACATATTTTTCAAATTAACTTTTCCATGTTGACACTAAATGAATATGATAGAATTGTAAGAGGAAAAAAGCGGTTTTGAACTGTTGACCCTGTCTTCAGAGAAAATGAAGTCATTTTTACTCATCTGTTTTATCTGCTTAAATCATATGGATCAAATAAAATCTTAGGTACAAGGGGTGAAAATGCTGTCAGAAGCCTTCATGAGAATAAATCCTATTCAATAAAAATTTATGATGTTGTGACTGTTCTAGATTTTTAAGAGGATTTTGGGTTATTATTCATGTCTCCAGTGGGCCTGCACAGACTTTGTTATTAATCCTTCAACAGCAGGAAAATAAAAGCAGAAGTGTTAAATGTATAGAAAAGTAATCTTTCACAAATTATGAAGTGTATTCCAGTATAACATGATATCTGCCAAAAGAAAAGCTATAAAGTTAGATTTTCTTGGAGTGATTTTTATAAAACAATCATGAATTTGATGTTTAAATGTTTTGAGTTTGATTTCCATTTCTTTAGAATGCAGTGGCAATGACAGATTATTCCTTTACTGCCTATTAAAATGTAAGTCAGTCTGTAGTCTCTAAATTTGGTTTCCGCTGAATCCATGACTAAACTAGAGTGAAAGGTACATTACCACTTTGATTTCTGTTCAAGAAAGAAATATATGCAGTATTATAAGGAGAAGTCAAAGCAGGCTGCTGGATAGCATATCTAATCTGTGACTTTCTTGGATTTGGTGACAAGAGACATGAATATTTCACTCTGCTTTTTAAAAGAGAGTTTGAAGTTGCGCTGGCTGTTACTTCTATGATGATAACTTTCCCAGAAGAGTCTAGACAAATGCAATCTTCTGGAGTCATGAAAAGTAAAACACTGTTGTTAAAATGTCTAATTATCTGAGCACCAGTGCCCTTAAGTGCCATAAGTTATCATTATGGAATCTGTAAACAATAATGCCAAATAAATAGAGGATGTGTTCCATGCTACTGAAACTGTATATGGATATGAAACCGCATATGGGTAAAGAAGGCTGGGAAAAGATGCCATGTTTTAAAATAAAGCTGGGCACGGTGGCTCATGCCTGTAATCCCAGCACTTTGGGAGGCTGAGGTGGGCAGATAACTTGAGGTCAGGAGTTTGAGACCAGCCTGGCCAACACGGTAAAACCCCCACTCTACTAAAAATATAAAAATTACCCAGGTGTGGCGGTGCACACCTATAATCCTAGCTACTGGGGAGGCCGAGGCAGGAGAATCACTTGAACCCGGGAGGCAGAGATTGCACTGAGCCAAGATCACACCACTGCACTCTAGCCTGGACAACAGAGCAAGATTCCCTCTTAAAATAAAGAAATAGAGTAGTACACTATTGTCTTGAAAACTGACACAAGTCTTTTGGGCATTTATACTTCTTAGATTATTTTTTGATAGAGATAGATTATATCTAATGTTTGAAGGCAGGTGAGGTTTATGGGTTTCCTCCACACCCCCATCCCTCTATTAGGTAATACATTACAACAAAAGCCCATAGTGTTATATTAACGGATATTTATTAGAAGACTGGCACGAGAAAGTCTTGCAACCTGTAAGTTAGATAAAGTTCTAGCTTTCTGTTTCGTTGGCTGCTTCAGAAGTACCATGCAGGAAAGATTCACTCAAGGCAATGATACTGACCATAATCTAGTGGCAGGATTTGGCTGTCCTTGTTTGAGTGAGGTAACAAAAATCATCCAGTGTGAGGAAAAAATGAACTTCTCTTGTGTTAGGCCATTAGTTTTGGGGTTTACTTGTTATAGGCGTTAGCATACTCTGACTAATAGGTTACTTTTACAGAACAGGGCCAGCATTGCTCTTATTTTCTTCATTTTCTAGAGTGAGAAGTAAGCCATTAGAGCTTTATAAATTACAGACATAAAGAAATTGGCCAAGTATGAAAGAATCTGTGGGTATATGTATAATAAATATTATTGTGTGTTGCCTAAATCGTATACATATATATTTTCTTTTAGGAGTAGCCTGACTCATAGATGGCATTGGTAGAAGTATTCCAGAAGATTTATGTGACATTTACTAGGTTTAAGAATTATCTAGAAAAGGGCCTGGCATGGTGGCTCACACCTGTAATCCCAAAACTTAGGGAGGCTGAGGTGGAGCTCAGAGTTCAAGACCAGCCTGGGCAACATGGCAAGACCCTTTCTTAAGAAATGAAATAAAATACCCCCCCCAGAATTATCTGGAAGAAGGGTTGCATTGAAAAGGCTGAGTCCTAAAAGACTCTGAGTTTCTTTTTTATTTTATTTTTTTTGAGATGGAGTCTCACTCTGTCACCTAGGCTGGAGTGCAGGGGTGCCATCTTGGCTTACTGCACCTCTGCTTCCCATGTTCAAGAGATTCTCTTGCCTCAGCCTCCCACGTAGCTGGGATTACAGGTACATGCCACCATGTCCAGCTAATTTTGTGTGTGTGTTTTTAGTAGCGATGGGATTTTACCATGTTAGCTAGGCTGGCCTCTAACTTCTGAGCTCAAGTGATCTGCCTTCCTTGGCCTCCCAAAGTGCTGTGATTACAGGGATGAGCCACTGTGCCCAGCCAAGACTCTGAGTTTCTGATTTTGTTTTTGCCATGTAATCTTCACTTCTTCCTCGAGTACCAGGAAAGTATTCTTAGTTAGATATAAACAAACATTTTATTTTACCTCTCCTATATTGTCCCATTAAACAACTTATTTACTTTTATTAAAATTGAAGAATTAAAATGTACCACAGGGAAGAATTAAAAAACTGTATAAAAGCAGTAGAAAAACCAGGCTTTGTCAGCTATACTTAAACTGACTTAGTGCTATCATTTTATCTCTAAAACCCTTTTATTAACATTTTTCTCTCAGAAGATACTTAAGCTGTATTCTGATTATTTATAGTAATGCATTGAACTTGATCAAAATTCATTAATAGGGTGTTGGAGTGGCTAGCAGGAAATCAGAGAGACAGATACATTTGAAGTACAAGGGAATCCAGATTAAATTAAAATTACACTTTGTTTTCCAGTATCTTAAGAATTGTATTTGTGTCTTTGAGTGTAATTAGAGTGTAGACTGCACTGGGCAAGCCTTGCCTATTTCTGTTGGTAGATGTGGGAAGCAGCTTCTCACATGACTCCCAAATAATGATCCCATTTCCTGGTACCCATGCCTTTGTCTTCTTCTCTTGAGTGTGAGTTGGCCCAGTGACATGCTTCTAGTGGAATATGGAAATAGTTATGGGCTGTCATTTCTGAGATTCAAAGATGGAAGACAAAAAAGATTCTGTTTTCCATCTTGCTCACCCTCTCTCTCTTTTGCCCTTGCTTTGATGAGAACAAGATGCTCTGGTGTGAGCTTCCCTATGGAGACATCCAAGTGTGAAAACACTGAGGGAGGCCTCTAGACAACAACCTATGAGGGACTGAACCCTGCCAAAAGCCATATGAGCAGATCCTTCCCCAGTCAAGCCTTTGGATGACCGCAGTCCAGCTGATGCCTTGATTGTAGCCTTGTGAGTTGCCTTGAGCCTGAGACTCCAGCAAAGTTGTGCCAAGATTCCTGATTCACTGAGACAGTTACTAAATGTTTGTTGATTTAAGCTGCTGTATTTCAGAGTAATTTTTTAGGCAACAATTGATAACTGATACAGCAGATGAAATTACAGATGGGAAGATGAAGATTATAAGGCTAATAAAGCCCTATACGTATAGTTAAATTAAGGCTGGGATATTAAATATAAATGAAAATGCTCTTTCTTGAAATTGTTTTTGTAGATCACTGCTACATTAAGGAGCCTGTGGTGGTTATTGGGAGCATGATTAAACAGTGGATAACTTGATGGACCTGAAGTCATGAAGAAGTCTGGGCCAGGAAATCGGCAATACACAGGTGCATTTTTATTGCCTATTTGTTGTGTAATTCTTTGATTGTAAGTGATATTGTCTAGGCCAAATCATAACCTCCTAAATTAATCTATCATTTATGTCTATGAAGATAAATTCTGAGAACAAATACGTGTGTAAAGATAAATTTTTTTTTTGATTTCTCAGTTTTTTTTTAATGTAGATAAATCTTTTTTTATTGTACTTTAGGTTCTTGGGTACATGTGCAGATCATGCAGGGTTGTTGCATAGGTACATACATGGCAAGGCGTTTTGCTGCCTCCCTCCCCCCCATCATCTATATCTGGCACTTCTCCCCATGTTATCCCTTCCCAACCTCCCCAATCCCTGCTGTCCCTCCCTTAGCCCCAACAACAGACCCCAGTATGTGATGCTCCCCTCCCTGTGTCCATGTGTTTTCATTGTTCAACACCCACCTATGAGTGAGAACATGTGGTATTTGCTTTTCTGTTCTTGTATCAGTTTGCTGAGAATGGTGGTTTCCAGATTCATCCATGTCCCTACAAAACATGAACTCATCCTTTTTTTGTGGCTGTGTAGTATTCCATGATGTATATGTGCCACATTTTCTTTGTCCATTCTATCACTAATGGGCATTTGGGTTGGTTCCAGATCTTTGCTATTGTAAACAGTGCCACAGTGAAAATACACATGCATGTGTCTTTATAATAGAATGATTTATAATCCTTTGGGTATATACCCAGTAATGGGATTTCTGGATCAAATGGTATTTATATTTCTAGATCCTTGAGGAATTACCACACTGTCGTCCACATTGGTAGAACTAATTTACACTCCCACCAACGTGTGAAAGTATTCTTTTTTCTCCACATCCTCTCCAGCATCTGTTGCCTCCTGATTTTTTAAATGATCGCCATTCTAACTGGCATGAGATGGTATCTCAAGGTAGTTTTGATTTGCATTTCTCTGATGACAAGTGATGATGAACATTTTTTCATGTGTTTGTTGGCCTCATAAATGTCTTCTTTTGAAAAGTGTTCATCTCTTTCTCCCACTTTTGAATGGGTTTGTTCTTTTCTTGTAAATCTTCTTTAGTTCTTTGTAGATTCTGGATATTACGCCTTTGTCAGATGGGTAGATTGCAAAAATTTTTTCCCATTCTGTTAATTGCTGCTTCACTGTAACGATTGTTTCTTTTACTGTGCAGAAATTAACTTTAATTAGATCCCATGTGTCTATTTTGGCTTTTGTTGCCATTGCTTTTGGTGTTTTAGTCATGAAGTCCTTGCCTATGCCTATGTCCTGAATTGTTTTGCCTAAGTTTTCTTCTAGGATTTTTATGGTGTTAGGTTTTATGTTTAAATCTTTATCATTGACCATAATGTTAAACTAGACAGGAAATATTAGGTTTTATCATCGTTTCCTGTGAAAGCAATAGGTAGAAGGACTGAGCTTTCATTTAAACATTTAATTTATGGCTTTTGGCAACAACAACAAAGGATTGGAAGAGAATGACTCAGATGTATGGATGTTGTTTTATTTCAGCAAGTATTAGATATGAGATTTAAAGAATCATGTTTATTCCCCAGAAGTCTAATACCTCTCCTAGTGTAAGTCAGATGGTTACTAACTTCAGATCAATGTCTGCTATATTACCTGGATATTTTTGACTGAATAATATGTTAAGTTCTGTAGAATTATAATCCTGACTTATGCAATCTATTAATCTACTCAACCTTATTCATAAAATGGACAACCACATTCAGTTGTACAATCAGTGCAGCACAAGTAATTAAAAAGTTTGTGCCATTAAATAATTGTTTTTATGAACCTGTATGTAATAAGCAGGATAAGGTTAGTATCCCAATCACTACATTGTTGGCCATTTAAGGTATTCTAATGACCAGGAAACAGTGCTGAATCTAAGTGGAACCATTGTAAAACTGCTCCAAAGGAAAAAAAGTGAGAACATGCTGTGAGATCTTAATCACTCAGCAAAAAGCGATTTCCTCTGGTTGGCTTTGACTAACTGTGGATTTCATTCCATTCAGTTTTGTGGGAAAAGCCTAGTCCACTGACTTCATAGAATAACCTATTGGAATATGGCTGTCAGGATCCAAAGATATCCAGACTCTTCCTTGGGTCTTTTAAAGTTGGTGCAACAGAAACTTCCTATGTTGTCTCTCCGGATCTGAGCTGAACAATCTCAAGTTAGTAGTTCACTTTTAGTAAACCAAGTAATTTTTGCCAATAGAAATCTTACATTCTCACTACTTCCTAGAAATTAGAGCTAGTAATGTATTTCGGTTTGAGGGAAAATATAGTAGAATATTTGTAGTAGCATATAACTTTTGCGGCATTACTAAGCCCATGTCTCAAGTACATGCCAGGGTAAAATACAGCATTTCCCAAGGACACATACCTACTCTGTATCCTCACTGGTATCATATCTGGAAATCTAGACTACATCTGGCTCCAAATGAACTTGTTACAAAGTCCATGGCTTCTGTGACTGACAAACTTTGGGATTTCTCTGTTTGCCTTTGAAAGATGGTCAGTGACAGACCTGATGAGATGATCAGGAGGATGTGAACATGTGTAGGAAATGAGAGTGAAGAGGTCCAGCTACACATCTTTGTTCTCAATATTGTGCTTTCTTGGAGACCTATACTTTCTAAAAACATTCTAAGGGAATTAGCATCACATGGAAATGACGTAGAACTAGGAGTCAGACAGATGTAGTTCAAATCCAGGATTTGTCAATTACTAGCTACCTGACCTTTGGCAAATTACTACATTTCCACAGATCTTAGTTTTCAGTTTGTAAAAGGGAAATAATGACACATACCTCCTAAGATTGTTTTAAGATTCTAATTTTGTATTTGGCACAGCACATGGTGTATATTAGACATGCAATGAATGTTAGCTCTTATATAGAATAGCTCACCTCATGAAATTGCTGACCATGCCCAGCTCACAGAAATAATTAGTAACTAATATTTATGTGGTGCCTTCCCAGTTATAGCATGCTTTCAACTCCACTAACTCATTTGACACAGCAAGGTAGAGGGATTAGAGTCATTGAGAAACGTGGCAGAGTTAAAATGAAAAGTGGTAGAGTTGGGACTGGAAAGCACTCCAAATTCTATATTTTTACCACAATATAGCACTGCCTCTCAGAAATATATTCTTCCTATGAAATCCTACATAATATTGCTTTTACTACTCATTTGGCACTTATTACTCATTGTCTTAAATAGTGATTTCTTTTTATGTTCTGTTTCCTCAGTGAAGTAGGAGTGGGCACCAAGCTTCACGAATCTCTTTGGTTAAGGTGAAGTGGTTGGGCGTCGTGGCTCATGCCTGTAATCCCAATAATGACCTAGCTTAGAAAACACTCAATACATTGGATTTATATATTAGTGGGGACTCTTGGTTGTAAACAACGGAAATAGATGATTTTGGCTAATCTAAGCAAGAAGGAATCTATTGAAAGACTCTTATAGGCTTACATAATTTATAGGAAGGTGAGGAACTAAGCTGGAAACAGGTGTCTCCAAGGCTCCTTGTGAGATAAAAGCACAACACTGGATTTATTAAAGGGAAAGTATAGACAGGATTCTACTACTTGGAAAAAAATCAGCTGTTCCATTTTTAATTTCTATGTCACTCCATTCAAGAATCACATTTCCAGGAGAGAATGTTTGAATGGCGCATTTTGGGGCATGGGTCTCTCCTTTGTCTCGTGGGAGCTGGGAGTCTGACTATATGCCTACTGGACCATGTCCAGTGGGTGTAGAATTAAGTTTTCAACATGAAATTTAGATGTGTTTAGAAAGGAGAACTAGGTGCTGGAAGCCACCCTTTGGCCTTCAAAAACAAACAATCCTCTACAATTGATTAGTTAAATAATTAAAAAATGATTTGTTAATCATGTTCGATTTTGTGTGGATTCTGGAATAGGGAGTATGGATAGTGGATGACTCAGGTCTATAACACTTTATCTAAAAATGTTCAAGGATGTGAGGTACTAGATTGTTATTCTTCACTTTCCCAGATCTTGAACCATACAAATGTGCTTGGAGAAGGCTAAAAGCAACATTACGTATAATTTGGTTGAAAATAGACTGTTATTTCAGATAATGGAGATAATTTTCAGTCTTAACTCCACCAGTTATCACATTGATTTACTCTGTCAATAATCACAATAACTACAATTTATTAAGCAAATGCCGTAGTCTAAGCAGTGAGCCAGGTGTTATTATATTTGTTTCCTTATATAATACCTAATTGGTAGGTGCTGATAGTTTTCATTTTATAAATGAGAAAAGAGACAAAACAGGATGAAGGAATGTGTGTTAGGACACTCAGAAATTAAGCAGTTCAGATTCAAACCCAGGCTAGGAATCTCAGGCTCTTCTTACTAAATAATTCTATGTCTATATTAGGGACCTTTATATTATAACTTAATTATGAATTGGAAAAATATTGTGAAGTGGCTGGGCATTGTGCTTCATGCCTGTAATCCCAATACTCTGGGAAGCCAAGACAGGAGGATCACTTGCATCCAGGAGTTTGAGGCCAGCCCAGGCAACATAATGAGACCCTGTCTCTACAAAAAGTAAAAAATTAGCCGGGTATGGTGACACGTGCTTGTAATCCCAGCTGCTTAGGAGGCTGAGGAACCTCTTGAGCCTGGGATGTTGAGGCTACAGCGAACTGTGATTGTGCCACTGCACTCTGCCCTGGATGGCAGAGTGAAACCCTGTCTCTCACACACACTCACACATACACACACACACACACATACACACACACACACACACACACAAAGGTAGAGTGCATTCAAAGCAAATTTCATATTTCTCTACTTACAATATACATTTGACAGACAAAAAGAAAATGACTGTAATGCAAAAAAAGTACTCAATTGTATATGATAATTTACATGGAAGAAACAAAAGGATAATTTTATTATATATTTTATCATAAATAATACACCAAATGAGAAAGTGCTATTTATAT